GACCTGAAGGGGGTGAGGGAGGCTTGTGGATACCTGGAGAAGAGCATTCTAGACTGAGAGAATGTACCTTGTGCCTGAAAGGTTTAAGGAGCTAGTCCAGTGGGCTAGGGCAGAGGGAGGAGTGATGTAAGGGAGTGGGAGATACATCTCGTAGAGCCTTGAAAGCCATCGTAAGAACTTTGGCTTTTACTCTGAGCTGTGAATCCTTTGGGGAGTTTCAGTTGAGTAGTGACGTTCTCTGTTTTAACAGAATTGCTGGTTGCTGTATTAAGAGTAGTTTGCAGTGAGGCTGGAGGCAGGGCGACCAGTTAGGAGGCTTTTGTAAAAATTCAGGTGCCAGATGATGGTGGTTTGGAACAGGGTGAGGTTGGTGGAGAGGGAGTGAGAAGTGGTCAGAATATATTTTGAAGGCAGAGCCAAAAGAATTTGCAAGTGTGTGAGCGAGAGATGGTTTTTGGCCTGAGTACGTGGAAGGATGGTGTTGTCATTTACTGGGATGTGGAAGAATATATGTGAAGCTCACAAGTCTAGGCTGAAGCAGCAACAGCCCTGGAAGTGGCATGTTGTTGTTAGCTGCCATCGAGTCAGGTCCCTGACTCCTGGGGACTGTCATCTAGTGGCGTCAGAAGTTCCCTAACTTCAGGAGGAGGGAGAAGAAGAACCGTGATCATCAGCCCAAGGCTGATTCCTATGAGGTGGAGATTGGACATACCTTCACTCTCCAACTTTTTCACCATTTCTAACACCAGCTGTCTTCCCCACAACACTCTCTACCTCTTTGCTGGGTTTGATAATTTGTTGCAGTGGCCACACAGAACTCACAGCCATACTCAAGATTATGTGGTTTATTAGGGAAGTAAGAGACTACAACCCGGGATCAGGCTTAACTTGGAAGTAACAGGAACAACTCAGGCGATAGGATACAGTTCTTCAATCAGCATAGCTTCCAACAAGACAGCTCTCAGTTCCTCAGCCTTGCCCACAGGCAGCCTCTGCTGCTGGGCCCGTCTTGGCCTGACCTCTGCTGCCGCTGACGCAAGTGTTACAGCTCATTAGCTTGGCTGAGAAGTGCCCAGAAGAACCCCACTCTGCCAACAAGCCTCCTGCCCAAAGGCGCTCACCTCTTGCCCAGGAAGCCCACTGCAGCCATCTTGTGCTGGTCTCCTGGTTCCTGCTATCTCACACTGCTGCCATGCCGTCTTGCACTGACTTCGGTGTTAGCTCTTTCTCTCCTGGGTCTAGAGATTCTTCGCTCAGGGACCCTGGGTCCAAAAGGATGCATTCCGCTCCGGGCTCGTGATGATAGTGAGATCCCTCCCACTCAACGCCTGTGGGATTAGCCCTTTTATAAGCCTATTCCTCCCAACAAGACCCAAACTGCCCAATCCCCTTGGTAGGCCATAGTACCTTATTTGCATAGTAGACTGCCCAATCCCTTGGCAAGATTGTGGCCTAGCAGATCATCTTGGCAGAACTACAAACGTAGAGCCAGAAAGGCCATATATAAAGAGAAACCCGTTGCACTGCAGGGACCCTGTGCGCAGTGGAACAAAATGGACTGTTGTGATCCATAGGGTTTTCATTGGCTGACTTTCAGAATAGATCGCCAGGCCTTTCTTCCTACTTCGTTTTAGTCTGGAAGCTCTGCTAAAACCTGTTAAGCATCATAGCAACGTGCAAGCCTCCACAGACAGACCAGTGGTGGCTTCGCATGAGGTGTGTTGCTGGGAATTGAACCTGTGTCTCCTGCATGGAAGGTGAGAATGCTACAGTTGAACCACCACTGTCCTCCGAAGACGCAGAGGTGAAGAATTTTACTCTGGATCCCTTCCTGTAAAAATAGCTTCCTGGTCAAACCAGGAGAACCCTAAGGGCTAGTGATTAGCTTCCTTGAAACATTGGAAACATTACTTCCCTTAAATTGTTAAGAGGGAGGTTTAGTGATGGGTAGGTGAAGTACCTCACCACCAAATTCATTCCTTTTACCTTAGGGGCCAAAACAGCTAAATTATTGATAGTATGGCATATTAAAAATGTGTGGGTTTGAACTCCAGCTTTATGGAATCTCTGAGTTTTGTTTTAATCGTCTGTAACATGGGCCGATAATACCTCATTTGTAGGGTTGTTGTGAGGAGTAAATTTAGTGACAGTTATGAAGATCGTGTAGGAACCTGGGGAAAAAAACTTATTATAAACAAAAAAGGCAGGATGTAGGATTTTACACAGAGACTACGAAGGTGTGTATAGAAAAAGATTGGAGGAGAGTATGTGATTTGTAATAATTGATGAGATAAAATGATGGGATTATAGATAAGATTTTAAAATTCTATATCCCATACTTTTATAACATTATAAATGGAAATATTTAAAGCTGTTAAGATGGTTGATACACCTCTCTTCCGATGATAGTGTTCAAAAACTGCAGTAGTTTTTAATCATTTGACGGGTGAACAAACACCAAGCGATTAGGTGTAATCCGTTGTAAAAATGATCTCACATCAGTCCTGTCAAAACATGAATTTAATTTCAAGCCATTTTTGGAATGCTTGGTAGGAAGGGTTTTTTAATTTTTGCATTCAAGGGGAAATGATCCTTAGGAGAAAATACAATGAGCTCATAAAATGATGGGGAGAGTGTCTAAAATTCTGCAATTCAACAGAGATCCTTTTTAGCCTTGCTATCTCAGTAGTTTAAAAACAACTACACACTGGTTGCCATCAAGTTGATTCTGACTCATGGTGACCGCGTGGGTTACAGAGCAGAAATGAGCTCTGTAGGTTTTTAGTGGCAGTAATCTTTGCAAAAGGAGCCCTGGTGGTGCAATGGTTAAGTGCTTGGCTGCTAACCAAAAGGTCAGCAGTTCAAACCTACCAGCTGTTCTGTGGGAGAAAAGATCTGGTGATCTGCTCCTGTAAAGATTATAGCCATGGAAACCCTATGGGACAGTTCTACTCTGTCACATAAGGTCGCTATGAGTCGGAGTCGACTTGGTCTCCAGGCCTTTTTTCTGCGGTGCTGCTGCGTGGGTTCAAACTGCCAGTCTTTCAGTTAGTAGTTGAGTGCAAATCGTTTGCACCACTCAGGGACCTCTGTCAGTAGGTAGGACCTCTCTTTCCATCTCTAACTCCTTCTGAGTCTCTGACTGTGTTAAATACCAGATGTAGGCCAACGGCGTGCTAGTCAGACTTCCTCTTTGAATAAATTGTTGTTTTTAATAGTTGACGACGGAGGTGATTGTGGTGGTGGTGATGGTGGAATACGTAAAAGCTAGGACACTGGACTTTAGAGAGGACTGAGTTGCAGAACGTGGCTCTGTCGTTTAGCTGTATGATTTTAGGCAGGTTACCTTCTCTGGTGTAGTTTTCTCCTGTCAAGTGGGAATAGGAACGTCTTCCTGGAGTTGTTGTCGGGATTAAATGAGATAATGCCAGGCACATCCAAGGGCTCAATAGATGTTAGCTGCTGCCATTCCATAACAGTATCACAATGACAGAGATTGTGCCTGTCTTGTTCATCGTGCATTTCTAGTTTAGAGTAAGTTCTCAGTAATATATGTTGAATGACTGAGTGCAGTACAGAAAAAAGGCCACAGTTCATCCCCACTTACCGGACTGTGTCAGAAGAAATAGAAGCCAAGTTTACTTTAATACCTTTCTGTTGCCCTGTTGATTCTGATGCCTGCTTGGTTGGAGTAACATTGATGTTTTCAGTATGTGATCTTTTTAGACTAAAACCTGTTGCTGTAGAGTCGATTCTGACTCGTAACGACCCTATAGGACAGAGTAGAACTGCCCCATTCCAAGGAGCGGCTGGTGGATCTGAACTGCCAACCTTTTGGTTAACAGCCAAACTCTTAACCACTGCACCACGAGGGTGCATCAATTATACGTCTATTTGGATTTCTTTGAAGAGATCAAGAACCAAAAGTCTGATGACTATGTTAATTTGGGCAAGGAATTTCCTTTTTCATCTTTAAAATAATGAACAGACTGGGCTTGAACTCTGCTTTTTAACTTAAAAAACTTATTTTCCTAGTTAGAAATTAATACCAAAGGATGATTTTATTGGTGTGTAATTTATTATCTTAATCTGATATTTGGGGAGAACCGACTATTTGTCTGTCACTGTAGCTTTATTTCTTCAGATAGAATACCAGAGTTCCCCTTAGGTTCTTTTTAAGCCCGTGTGCTTGTCCCTCCTTTATTTATCCTTGTGACTGAGGGAGCTGCAGATACCAATCTGTTAACCCCAAATCCCATTCAGTTTAAATTTACTGCATACCCGCCGTGCGCCAGGCACTGTTTTAGGCACATGTTTGTTACTTCATGCAGCCCTTTCAGTGGTACTGTTATGGTGCTGTTATGATCCACATTTCACAGATGGGAAAACTGAGCTTTCGTTTATTGTTTTTACTATATATTTTCTTAACATATGGGTTTATTAATGCTAGAAAGTTGAGTTAACTTGACTATAATTTTTTTGTTTTTGTTTTTGGTCCTGAAACACAAGTTTCTTACAGCCTCTTCCAGATTGAGATTTTTTTTTTTTTTTTTACCGTGTGTCTGGGAAAGCTTCTGAAGTTCACTCTGGGGTGAGAGGTTCCATGTTAGTACATCAGATCAGCCAGAGGAGAAGAGGGACAGCCAGGTTTGGCTGAAACTCTGATCAAAAGTTCATACAAATTCCAAATGTTTTACTCGATTGATAAGCAGATAGGCACAATGGATATTTCTGGAAGCTCAGACTGGACCTTTGTTGTTATTGTTTGCCTACCCCGCCAATCTTAATGGCAAGGAGTTCTTGACAGGCTTTGCTCTGGGAAAGTGAACTAGGGTGTTGAAAGTTTGCGGACCAGCTAAAGCCTTGTAATGCATAGCTGGAGAAACCACCCTCCCATCTCGTGGGCTGAATGACTTCCTCCACTATTCGAGACAGTCTGCTCCTTGAAAGTTCGTTCAGGTGCCCGGACATACTTTTGACATTTGTCTTTCTTCCTGCAGGGATTAAAGCCTGTGGTTTCCACAGAAGCACCGCCCATCATATTTGCCACACCAACTAAACTGACCTCCGATTCTGCGTATGATTACGCTGGGAAAAATAAAGTGCCAGAACTGCAGAAGTTTTTCCAGGTGAGGGGAGATTCTCTGGAGCAGAGAAGCCTATGAAATAAATGGGCTTAAAAACCCCTTATGAAACTGAGCCCGAATCTAGCTCACTATCCATTTCTCCTTTTTTTCCCTTCAATAGAACTTTCTGATCTTACTTAGCTTGAGCCATAAACTAGTAGAACTCTGTGTAGGTAGAAACTTATAAAAGAGGGGAGGGTAGTTAATTTTCTCATCATGATTTAAGAGTACGCTTTTCAAATTACACATGTAACTTTTGGTCATCCACTGGTGGGGAAGGAGTCACATGTACAGTGACACTGAATAATTCAAAAGGCGCATATATATTTGGCTTTTTGGTACATGTAATGATCTTTGGCAGTACGTTTTCTTCTAATTGTTTTTTTGCTTGCTTGATATTAAAATTCACTGAGGTGTTGCTGGAACCCGAGGAAGCCCTCTTGGGTTTGCAGATCAACAGAGAGAAGCCAGAATTGGAAGTTAAAGTGTTATTCAAGTTAAATCTACGTACAGATAATTGAGGGGTCCGGACCTGGCTGGGTCTCAGGTGCCATGGCTCCCCCTCCTCAAAAATCACTCCAGAGTCAGGCCTGCCTTAGGGGTAGAGCATGCTTATTTTGATCACTTTAATCCCTTTTTATCTGATAAGTAAGACTTGAGAGGACATTTGGGGTCTTGAGATACAGTGGGGCAGGATTTTGGAGACTATGTGAAATAATGGATTAAACACCTTGGAGTCTCAGTAAACGGGTTTAACAGCTTAATGGAAAGAAGGCAGTTGAATCCAGAATGGACTTGAACCTATTCACTGACCTGGTGTGCTCAGACTTCATCCCCTTACGATCTGAAGTCAGATGAAATGTTGAACTGAGGGTAGAATGTTTCTTGCACTTCTAGTCCTTTGTTGAGCTGCTAAGTACCTTCGCCCTTAAAGACTCACCAGTGCTCCTTTCCTAGTTAAGCAATATGGGGGGAATTCCTTAGAAATTTGGTATTTGTGGCATGCATGTTCCTTGGGGCTGCATTTTGGAATGGCTTTGGACTTATTAGCTTTAGCTACATTTATAAGGAAATACACCAGCATTTCAGTTAGCCTTCTGATGGATTAGGCCTTTTCCCACTGCAGTATGTTGATGGATTCGTTATAAAGTAAGGAAATTTGTTCTTTATTAGCCTGATATTGTAAATTTTTTTTTGTGGGAAGTGGTGCTTGCTCTTACCAGTTGTGTCTATGTTAATTCTTTCCTTCAAGAAGTCTGACGGTGTGCCCATCCACCTGAAGCGAGGCCTGCCTGACCAAATGCTTTACCGGACCACCATGGCGCTGACGCTGGGAGGGACCATCTACTGCCTGATCGCCCTCTACATGGCTTCACAGCCCCGGAACAAATGAGCTAGGCTGCACAGGAGTTTTTGTTTTGCATTGTTTCTGTTAATTTTTTTTTTTTTAAATTCCGATGGGCTACCTGACATTTTTGTAAGAAAAATGGAAATATTATGAAAATATTTTTGGTTTGTTTATGAAATGCATATAGCCTGCCAGAGCTCATCTGACTGTTAAAACTAATGTGTAAACAAATGATGCTGCTCTGTGCATTTGGGCCCGAGTCCCTGGAGGTGCCGGGTGAAGGGTTGCACACAGGCTCCTGAATGGCGGTCTGTGCCGAGGTGGTGTTTTGAGGCGTGGGGTGTAGAAGCCTTTCTGGATTTGGATGTGACCGAGGAAGGAAGACAGAAGCCAAGGCTTGACGTGTGAAATGAGGGGTATGAGTTTAGTAGCCACCTTGGGGATTTTTCCATCTTGCAGTATAATGTTAATGGAAATTACTTGCAGCCTACCTCTATTCATGGGCAGTTTATTTCAAAGGGTTATTTGCCTCATCTCAGATCCTGTTGAAGTTTCCTGTGTAATTGCTACGTATTTATTCCAGCATGGGAACAGAGAACACCTGTTTAGTGTTGCACTTTAGACCGAGGTCTGTTGTATTAATGCAGCTGTGCCACACATTCTCCGTTAACTTAAAAATGTTATGGCTTTAAGTTATATCTTGGCTGTGGAATAAATACGTGAATGAAAAATGTCAGGTTTGAAGTTCTCTTAAATAACCTGTCAGAGTAATTTCACGACACTAGAGGTGTCTTACATCTAAGTCTAGTTTCTTTTTTTTTAATTAGGCACCAGATAATCTTTACAAAATGTTTCCTCAAAGTCAGCTCACAGGAGGCTAATGGCACATTGATGATTACCATATGATTCCATGTAAGAAGCCTGCTTGCCCCTTAGTGAAACAGGCCTGGAACACACAGTTCATTTATATGTTCATTTCCTGTGCTGTCAAGATTGGTAGACTTCACTTATCCCTATATTAATGCTGAAAAAAGGTACAGTTTTATTATCTATAAAGTGGTGGTCTGTATCTTGCCATAGCAAAGGATAGTGACTTCTCACTGAGGATAAAGTAAGATGTTTGAAAATGCCCAGTAGCACTATTTGGAAGCCATTATTTGCCTGTACAAGTCTAAACTTTGTTCTCTGGTGTTTCCCCTACGTTTTTATTTTGAAAAATTTCAGCCTACAGAAAGATTGCAAGAATAGTGTGACCTCTGTATAGTTTTCATGGAGATTACCAGTAATCAGCGTGTTGCTACCTTGGCTTTCTCCTGCCCTTTCACGCAGTGTGCATGTGCACACACACATACGTTTGGTTTTAGCTGAATCATTTAAGATTAAGTTATGGAATTATAATAATTCAGCCTCAAATACTTAAGTTTCTCCTAAGAATAAGGACATTCTCCTACATAACTATAATACATTTATCAGAATAAATATAACATTGATAACAATATTTAAACTACATCTAAGATACAGTCTATATTCAGATTTCCGCAGGTGTCACAATAATGTGTTCTGTATAGCTTTTTTTTAGTAACAGCTTTATTGAAATATAATTTGCCATTGTATTCATGCATTCACCTATTAAAAGCGTGTAATTTAGTGGTTTTTACTATAGTCACAGCTGTACAACCATCACCACAATCCATTTTAGAGCATTTTCATCACCCAACAAAGAAACGCCATACCCACTGGCAATTCCTTCTCTTCCATACCCCTACCACCCAGCCCGAGGCAACCACTAATCTGCTTTCTGTCTCTAGGGATTTACATGTCCTGGACATGTTGGATAAACAGAATCACACAGTATGTGATCTTTTGTGACTGGCTTCTCTGGCTTAGCATGTTTCTGAGGTTCAGTCACATTGTAGGATGTATCAGAACTTCATTTCTCTTTAGGGCTGAATCATATTCCATTGTGTGGATATACCTGGAGTTCCTGGGTGGCACAAACGGTTATGCGCTTGGTTACTAACGAGAAGGTGGTGGTTTGAATCCACCCAGAGGTGCCTCAGAACAAAGGCCTGGCAATCTACTTCCAAAAGATCGCAGCCATTGAAAATTATGTAGTGCAGTTCTACTGTGACACACATGAGTTGGAATCGACTCGATGGCAACTGGTATGGACATACCACGTATTGTTCATCCGTTCATCAGATGACCATGTAGGTTATTTCCATTTTTTGGCTATTACGGATAATGCTGCTGTGAACATGGATGTACAACTTTGTACGTGGACATAGTTTTCATGTCTCTTGGGTATACCTAGGAGTGGAATTGCTGGGTCATATGGTAGTTCTATGTTTAAAGTTTTGAGTAACCGCCAGACTGTTCCAAATCAGCTGTATCAGTTTACATTTCCACCAGCAGTTGGAGTTGGGTTTTTTGGTTTTGTTTTTCTTTTGGATTCCGGGTCCAGTCAAGGATCACACTTGGCATTTAGTTGTCATGTCATTTAGTCTCCTTTTATCCAGAAGGTCCCTGAAGTCCTACATGACATCGACCTATTTGAAGAGTCTAGGCAGTTGTTTTGCAGAATACCCCACTAATTTGGATTTGTCTGATTGTGTCCTTGTAATGGGATTTAGGTTAAATATGTCTTTTTTTTTCACAGGTGATGTGGTGTCCTTATTATATCAGATGGCACTTGATGGCAGTTTGTCCCATTACTGGTGGCTTGAAGTTAGGTCACTTGGTTAAGAAATTGTCCACCAGATTTCTCCCTTGTAAAGATACCTCCTTGTAATTAATAATACTTGACCCTGTGAATATCCTGTCCACTACAGATTGCACACAGTATTAGTGTTCATTGTGATACTTGACTGAGTCAGTTATGAAGGAGGATGTGAAAAAGTGGTTTTCTGTTTCATCATTCTTTCTACATTTAATTGTCGACATTTTTCTGTGAAAATGAGCACCCTCCTTTAAGGTTGTTATGTATATGTGTAACCATCTCTGTCATTGTTCAGTCTGATGCTCAGATTCACCACGGATTTGGCTCTTGTGGCTTACTGTCCTGTTAGTCTTTGTACACTGCCTTGCATTCAGACACACAAGGTGCTTTCCATGAACCCTCTACGCCCTTCCAGAGATTTCATTAGTGGGCAAGAGCAGACCCTCTCAGGGGTCAGGGATCCAAAGATGAATCAGAGTCCCTTGCCCTTGATAAGCACTGTGATTATGTTTAAGGAGATCCCCTTAGAAATTATTTTTAGGGTCTTTTTCAGTCTGTCACTCTGTTACGGTCCACAACCTATCTAGTTGAGATACTCTTGGTTCTGAGGAATTCTGCTGTTAGCCCCACCTGCCCCGATCAGAGTGACTAGTAGGTTTGGTTGCTTTAGAGCAGGCTGCTGCTGGGTGGGGGAAGCCTGGCTGTGGCTTCTGTTCTGGGAAACTCGTGTTGCCTCTCGACAGTAGCTGGTCAGCACCTGTAGTTTTAGTGGCGGCATCAGTTGATCCCTGCTCTCATTGCACGAGCTAGAGCAGTTGGGGTGGCTCTAGCCATGTTCTGAGGCTGGAAGTCATTTGTCACCTCCTCTGCCGTCAGCAATTGTCACTTGCATACCCTTGAATCACAGGAATCCTGAGATTTGTGTGGCTTCCAGGTGCCCTGGGGCCACTGCAGGGTGTGTTGGGACAGTGGGTTGAGAGCAGATGCTGATTGTTCAGGGCACCAAGCCTGTTGGAGCTGATTCCAACGGAGCTGCTGCAAAATACTATGGAAAATGGGGCAAGCGGAGAAGTTGGGAACAGCATTCTTTACATAATAGGTTTTCCTCAAGTTCTGACAAAGCTCCCTGGGAGATCATGCCTTCCCTACCTTGGTCTGAAGTGTTGACACCTTAGGGTCATGGTGTATCATGTTCATGTTGCTGGGTGGAAACCCCAGGTTCTGCTCAGCACGACTCGTCTCAGCCAGTAAAGAGACTGAGGTGGGAGAGTAGAAAGGTGCCTTAACTTGGTGCGCAAGGAAAGGAAACAGTCGGGACTGCTGCTGCCAAGACTGCTCAGCGAGGGCGAGGGGAAAGGTTACTTTTAAGGGGTTTACAAGTAGGAAGTTCATACAAGTTACATCAGCAACATTCTTAATCATACTACGCAGGCGCAATGGGGTTTATGTATAAATTCGTGCATCGAGTGTTCAGAAAATGGCGGTTAAACTCCACCCTGAGGTGGGGCAGTTACTATGTATGAGGTCTAAAAGGTTATCCTAATGTCAACATGGCACCTAAACTGGTTTCTGCCAGTTTCCTCTAGTTTTGGGCAGCAGTTAAGGAGAGGGGAACCAGGATTTTAAGGTAAAGCTATGGGGTGTGTCATGCAAGCTGCTTGAGGCAGTGGGATTTTCTGCAGCCTAGGAACTTCTGTCTTAGTTACATGGCTGTACCTCAGGGCCAGATTGGAATCTGTGCCAACTCCAAATACCACATTCTGATGGAAGTCTCTGCTGAAGTTACCTCAGGCTGCAAGAGATGATGAGGTTGCTGCTCGAATACTGGGAAGTAGGCTAAGAAGCAGGGGCATTTCCTAAGGGTACTAGCCAGGCAGGAAGGCCGAGCTCTTCACACACTGAGCTCTCCTAAGAGGAGGGAGGGAGTCTCTGGGTGGTGCAAATGGTTAACACACTCAACTGCCAACTGAAAGGTTGGAGGTTGGAGTCCACCCAGAGATGCCTCAGAAGAAAGGCCTGGTGATCTACTTCCAAAAAACCAGCCATTGAAAACCCTATGGAGCACAGTGCTACTTTGACACACGTGGGGTCGCCATGAGTCAGAATTGACTTGGTGGCAACTGGTTTGCTTTTGGTTTTGGGAAGGGGGCAGTTAGCAGGAGAGAGTGGTGGTACTGGGACAGAGGTCTGCTGGCCCAGGGCCCACTTCCAGGTTCTGACTGTGCCAGGCTTGTGCTTTAGTTGCTGAAGGAGTGGGGCCCTAAGCCAAGGACTGTGGGAAAAGCCAAGGAAGGAGGCAGCCTGGTTGGTCAGCTCAGTGTGGGCCCCTGTCCTGAGGAGGGCCCTGGCGGGTTATGGAAGTGCTTTGCCACTGGGGAGGGTGGGAAAGATGTAAGATATCCCAGAATCCTTAACACCTGGCAGGTCCCAAGCCCATCTTCCCCTTTTCTTCTCCCCCACACTCTGCTTAGACCACAAACCTCCATGTTACACAACGGATTAATTTGAAAATTGAGTTGCAATGCAGTAAGTTGATGTCAGCTTCAAAGTTCAGTAGTGTTTAATCAGAGCCATCCAGAGACTAACCCTGTTCCCAGGAAATCATTCTGACCGAATAATTAAAGAGAATAAAGGTTAGATTTGTGTCTCTGGCTAACCTCTGTTGCATTCAGCATCTTCAAAGCATGAATTCCATTAACCTTTCATGAACCAACGTTAAATTGCTTTTAATTAGTTGTCATTCTAATTAGAGTCACACGGAGGAGCCTTTGTTTATACATGGTGTCTGTTCCCTTTTCTCCTCTGGAATTATGTCCTCTTAAATAAGAACCTGTCTTTTGGAAAACCGTTGTCATAACCTTATGTGTCCATCCATCCCACTCTTTGAGTCGGGACCTGTCTCCCTGTTAGGCTGGAGACTTGCCCCATCTTTACCAGCACTCACCTTTAATGCACGGATCATTCATTCTGCATCACTGTGCCCCAGACTCTGCTGAGTGGTGGGGACACAGAAAGTTGACCCTTTCCTGCCCTCCTGAGGTCATAGAATGCTGAGTACAGCCCAAGTGCAGCAGGACTGGCTGGGGGCAGGGCCAGGATGACCAGCTGGCTTCGCAGGAAGGCTGGGGGAGGGATGGAAGGAGGCTCCTGGGGGACAATGCTTACACTGCCTATCGAGTGAGCAGGGGTTTCCAGGAAGCTACAGCGGGGAGACGTGTGCCTGAGAGCATCTTGGCTGTGTTAAGAGGAGGTGGGGCGAGGGGAATGGCAGGATGGCTGCTTGAGGGAGGATGAGGCCCACGCACAAGGAACCGTCCTGGGGCCAGGCCAAAGAGAGCTTGGGCTCTGGTCAGTAAGTGGCTGTGCGTGTGGATTGTGAGAGATTCTGATTTTCTTTGGTTCCTTTTACCCCATAGTAACAGTGGGCAGAGGGAAAAGACTCAAGACAGTTGAAGTGGTTAAGAGTAACTGAGAGAGTCCAGGTGAGAGGTAGTGAGGCCTGGGAGCATGGTATTGGGCCCGGAGAGAAGGGGCCCCAGGGACATCAATGCACAATGAACATGACTTGATGACTACTTGGACATGGGGGAAGGGTGAGGAAGGCTTTTGGGGTGCTCCCAGGGTGACTGCCAGCTTGGCTTCTGGTGAGTGGAAGTGCAGAGACTGGAGCTAAACAGGGCAGGGCATGTTTTCTTGGAAAAACGGATTCCATTTTTGAGGTTGAGGTGCCTGTGAGACTTCTAGGCAAAGAATTCCCGTAGGCATTTGGGTCTGGAGATAAGGCAAAGGGTGTGGACTGGAGATATAAATTTGAGGGTTAGCAGTGTACTGGTGATAGGGGAAACCATGGGGGTCTTACATGGTTCAGGGAGTGAAGAGAGGGAGGAAGTGGAACGTGGGCGATACCAGTACTTCAGGGGTGGTAGAGAGGAGAAGAGCCTGTGGTGGCTTATAGAGGTATAAGAACAGAAGGAGTGAAGACATAATACTGAGTGAAAGAAGTGAGACGCGAGAGAGGACGTAACTATGATTCCATTTATAGGCAAGTCAAAACCAGGCCAAACTAATCTACGGTGATAAAGGTCAGCATAGAGGTTCACCCTGAGAGGGAGGGCAAGCTTCTGAGTACTAGAAAAGTCCCGTATCTCCATATATATGTTTGAGCCCATTGTTGCAGCCACTCGGTTGATCCATCTCCTTCTAAGGTCTTCCTCTACTTTGCTGACCCTCTATTTTACCGAGTATGATATCCTTCTCCAGGGACTGGTCTCTCCTGATAACATGTCCAAACTACGTGAGATGAAGTTTCTAATTCTGGCTTCTGAGGAGCATTCTGGCTGTACTTCTTCCAGGACAGAGTTGTTCGTTCTTTTGGCAGTCCACAGTATAGTCAGTGTTCTTTGCCAGCACCATAATTCAAAGGCATCGATTCTTCAGTCTTCCTTATTCATTATCCAGTTTTTGAATGCATATGAGGCGATGGAAAATACCATGGATTGAGTCAGGTGCACCTTAGTCCTCAAAGTGACATCTTTGCTTTTTAACACCTTAAAGAGGTCTTTTGCAGCAGTTTTGCCTGATGCAATACGTCGTTTGATTTCTTGACTGCTGTTTCCACAGGCATTGATGGTGGATCCAAGTAAAATGAAATCCTTAACAACTTTGGTATTTGCTCCATTTATCATGATGTTGCTTATTGATGCAGTTGTGAGGATTTTTGTTTTCTTTATGCAGAGGTAAAACCCATACTGAAGGCTGTAGTCTTTGATCTTCATCAGTAAACGCTTCAAGTGCTCTTCACTTTCAGCAAGCAAGGTTGTGTCATATGCGTATCGCCCGCTGTTAATAAGTCTTCCTCCAATCCTGGTGCCCTGTTCTTCTTCATACAGTCCAGCTTCTCGGATTATTTGCTCAGCATACAGATTAATAAGTATGGTGAAAGGATACAACCCTGACGCACACCTTTCCTGACTTTAAACCATGCGGTATCCCCTTGTTCTGTTCAAACGACTGACTCGTGGTCTATGTACAGGTTCCTCATGAGCACAACTAAGTGTTCTGGAATTCTGTTCTTCGCAATGTTATCCATAATTTGCCATGATCC